CAAGCACCACATGTACTCACCATCAAATTGGTATTAACTGATCAACACATAAGTGTACATATAAGAATAACATTTATTGGATGTCGGGCAGGGGGCGGGGTGGGGGGAGGAGGGGAAGGGTATATGCATACGCAAAGAGTGCGATGTGCACCATCCGGGGGATGGACACGCTTGAAGCTCGGACTTGGTGGGGGAGACGGGCAAGGGCAACATACGCAACCTAAACATCTGTACCCCCATAATATGCTGAAATAAAAAAAATATACATTATTAGTCAGAAAGCCTCCCTAGTCCATCGATGTCACTCTGCCCTGCTGTGCCCACACGGGTCCACACATGAGCGTCCACGCAGGTACCTACACCAGTGCACACACATGCACACCATAGCACACATACCACTCCATCTAACTTCGAGGGTCAGAACTGTCTCTGCGTATCTCGTACACCAACTCTCCTGGGCTGCACAGAGAAGCCACAATTGTGCTCAGAAGCTACACCTGGATTCAAGACGCAGTAGTCTGAACTCCTTCTCTGAGCCTGGGTTTCCACATCTGGTGAGCACCCAGAATGACGCAGGAAACTAAGTCATTGCCAGTCTCTCTAGGATTGGAAGGAGAAGGCAAAAACAGAGAGGTCCCCGCCTGCTAGGGTAGTTCTGTGGAAAGAGGGAGTATGAGATGTCAAAGGGGCAGTCAGATCTCCGTGCAAAGAAAGGGGAGAGAAAGGGAACGGGGCTGGGAACCCACAGGAAAGAAACTGCCCGAGTTGCTGGGAGGGAGGAAAGGAACGACCCAAACAAAGCAGGTGTCACTGAGTCTACCCTTCACCTCCTGCAGACGCCTTTCCCAGCCCTGGGTGCTGGGTGCACAGCCCTCGGCCCTCCTGCTCTGGGCCCTCCCCTCCCAGGTCACACATCCCCAGTATTGTCAGGGACTTCCATTTCCTTCAACCGTGAATTCTCAATGGCCGCGCACAGACACATTTCCCAATCTTCACACCCACTGCTCACCCTTGCTCATCCTCACAGTAGTGTGATGCTTAGGTGTGGTGGAAGGGGCTTCCCCCAGTCCACTCCAGAATCAACAGCAATCCGAGGAGTCCGAAGGGACCATTCAGAGGGAGGGAGACTGCTACACCTGGACCTTTGGGCAGAACGGGAAATCCTTTGGAACCACGGATAGTGTGGAGACTAACACTCCCCGAGTGCTTTCACTGAGACCCCTGCACAAGCCCTATGACAATGACAGCGTCAGCACTCCTGGGAGAGGAGCTTGGCCAGGCTCCAGGGCCACCCTTCTGAGCTCCTGGCTGCCTAGGCGGACAGGTGCCGCCTCCTGGCGCCCTGCAGTCTTTGTGTGTGGACTCCTGCTGGGATCAGTCCCCCAGGGGAGCCCAGCTCAGCTTCCTGGAGAAAACTGTCTCCACCCATTGCTCCTTCTCCATCCAGGACTGGTCTCCTGGAGAAGAGATGGTGTAGGAAAGGAAAAGCACAGCTGGAAAGACAGGGAGGGAGGCTTCATTGTCCGACCTGTGTCCTGCCTGAAGCCTGCAGCCCCTCCCTAGGCAAGGCTGGGTCCCAGAAAGGAAGGGCCACATGCCCTGCAGGCATTGGATATCACGTGTGGCTGGAGGGGAGGACAGTTTGTGCTGGGGACCACATTGCCCTGTGCTCCTCAGAGAGGACCAGGGCAGCAAAGGGACCAAGTGAAGTCAGCTTTGGTGGCATCTGGGGACTCTGTGGACTGGGTCCAGGGCCTGCACAGCTCCAAGGGACTGGGCCTGGCTCCCTTGCTGAGAAAAGACGCCAGGAGGGAAGACGAGGGGATGCTCTGTTGAGGGGCTGGAGTGGGGTGGGGGCGGGGACGTGCTCTGCTTTACTTTAGACTTTATTTATGGCCATGATTGTTCTCTCATGGCAAAGGTGACCCCCTTGACTCATAGTGCATGAGGTGGGCCAGAGGGAAGCCTCAGCATAGGTGACCCCCAAGCGTAGCCCAGCATGGAGGGCCAGGGGTTTGCACCCTCACAGCTCTCCCACTCTCTGGAGAGCACTCCTGGGGGTGAGTCCAACCTCCTGAACGACTCCCCAGTGAGCTATCAAGTGAATCCCAGCGTCTTATTTCATTTCAGTTTGCTTTCCTGCTGTGTGTGTGTGTGTGTGTGTGCTGTGTGTGTGTTTGTGTGTGTGTGTTTACAGAGAAGGAATTATGAAAACATAACAAAAAAAGTCTGGAGGCTTCAGATCGCATATGAAACTGTGGCTTTGCTTTCATGTGGGGCACCATGGAAGGACACTGAGTGGCCTGACCCTACAGCATTCAGGGCCTTGGTCCTCCAGGACGACCCTCCTTGGCCGTCTTCACGGCTTCAGCATCGACATGTTCCACACGAATGCCCACTTCAAGTTTTCCGTGAATCTGAGCTGACTTGCCGTTTTCACAACTCACACGGATGTGTTTGACAACGCAAGGTCCCCTGAAGTCTCCATGTCCTCAGTTGTTACACCGGGGGAAGGAAACCAAGACGCCTAGCGAGGTGTCTCCCAGATACGAAGGGACCTTAGGCCAGCAGTCTGTATCCCCTTGTGCAAGTGCCTTCTCTGTTGAGACCACACTCACGGTGACCCCAGAACACTGAAGTCTCAGAGCCGGGTCTCAGGAAGCCCCTGGGAATTCCTAGGAATTTTCCCCCAGCACACAACAGGTGCTCAGCATAAATTAGCAGAAAATGAGGGACTGGGGTCTAAACGTGACTCTCACTCCATGCCGGAGGAGAGGTAGGTGTCAAGGATGGGTGTTTGGGGGCGCAAGGAAGGGCAAGGGAAGAGGGAAGGGCAGTGACCTTAAATGAGGGTCAGCCCAAGAGGGACACAGAGCAGGTGCTGGTGAGGGCGGGAAGGCTCAGCTACACCAGGGCAGGGATCTGTGTCCTGCCAGTCCTTATTGCCATCTTCCTCCTTGCCTGTGCTTGTGTCTATTCCTGTGACACTAGGCTACTCAAGAATGCCTGCAAAGGGAAGCATTGCCCCTGGCCTCTGTGGCAGGAAGGGCTGAAGGAGGGGAGAGAAGATCCACCTGTCCTCTTCATATCCTTCCTCAGGTCACCCCTCTCATCCCCTGCCCTCCCTGAAGGCACCTGCCTCTTGCTCCCATAGGTCTGTACCCCAGCTCCGCAATGCGGACCACTGGTTAAGGAAAGAGTACGTTCAGGGGGTAGAAGGGCAAAAGCTATTACATCTACTTTGTGTAACTCATTTTATTCCCTCCTCCCAGCAGCCCTGGAAGTTTCCTTCTGGCAGTTTTCCAGCCACCACTCTCTCCCTTGTCTCCTTTCCTGGCCTCTGAGGTCAAACTCCCCATTTGGGATCATGTCCTCCTTCTTTGCAGAGAATTACTGCATCAGGAGGGGACCTATCCTTGGCCACTGTGTTTGCCTTTTCCCTCGAGTCCTGGAGACTGTCAGAGACTGAGCTTTCTGAGGAGTGAATTCTGGGTGCTGAGCCAGATGAGGAAACCCAGACTCAGAGAGGGATTTCATCTAGTATGTCTGAAATCCAATGGTAGCTTTCCTAAGAAATTAAAATCCTACCGCTAACAATTTGGGTAGTAACAGAAAAAAACAAAATAAAATAAAATCCCTTAGAATGGCTCAACTTATCAAGTGTTTCTAGGGAAAAATAATCAAAAAACTCCATGGGTTCAAGTCATATGAAACATTGGTTACGTGTTTTATGCAAAGACCCCTATTGAGAACACCTTCCAGCCAATGCCCACCAAGTTGCCAGCTGAGGACTATGAGCCAGGTTAGTGGTTTTTCTGCCCATCCCCACCCCATGTACACGGATATCTTCAGAGGTAGGAGAGGTCCCTGACCACCTTCAAGCATTTCCACCCTGTGGGAGGGTATAGACTGACCAGGCTAAAGCACACCCTGAGGAGGTGGGCAGCAGGCAGAGAAGGTGTGGGCTAAACTCCCCTCCCCAGCTCACACCCACCCCAATTGTCGCCCCACCATTGCCCCAAGAGGATTAGAGCCTTCAGTGGCCACCCAAGGCAACAATACAACCAGGATTGCTATTGGATTCTTGTTCTTCAGCTGTATAACTTGGCACTTTCCTACTAACATCTGTAGGGTACTGAACGAAATCCCAGGAGAACGATGGCCAGGAGGGGAGGATGCAGGTAGGACAGGTGACTTGATGACATGACAGCTGCCTCCCTCCACCCTATTTCGTTCCCAAGGACACATCACCCCTCACACAGCATCCAACCCCACTGAAACAAGTGCCACAGTCCTGGCTTCACAGGGCTTTGGCTGGCCTTGGGAGGCCCCAGGTGAGGATGGCGTCCACCAGGAAGGTGGGCATGTAGCTCATGGGGAGGTAGAGGAGCTTGGCGTCCCAGCCAGCTGAGTAGCGGGTGCGGGGGTGGCAAGCAGTCAGCGCATGTTCCATGCAGTCCGTCACCTCTGACAGATTCTCGTTGCATGTTGACAAAACGTGTTCGGATAGTCGTTTGAGATCTGCTCAGGATGAGAAAACAGCCTTAATGGAGTGGGAACATCCCTCTGCTCCCTTTCACAGCTCTAAGTTAGAAGGAAAGTTTCTAAGAATTTCTGGGTCCCACAGTGATGTGCCCCAAATCTAATCCATGCAGGTTCCCTAGGGGCATGGCCCATCCTCACCCAAGAAAAATTGGCCCACACTAAGCCACCTCTGCCTCTCTTCCTGGGAATATCCGGACTCTGTAAGTTAAAGGTCTCTGCTAACGGAGGCGAAGTGCAGGAAAACCAGTCCTCTCTAAACCCACCTCGCCAGGAGTCCATGGCATCTTCCCTGTCTGTCTTTAGTTTCCTCTACAAAATAATGAAGGGACGGTGTTTCCAATTGTAGTGAGCCTGGTTCCCATCTCTAAGTGACCTGTTGACCACACAGCACCTTGGGAATGGGACGGAACGTCCCACTTTGTGACGAGGCTGAACTTCCCTCTCCCCAGTACCCGGCAGGAGGACAGGCCCCTCATCGTGTTGGAGACATTAATCATGGTCCAAGGTTTAGTTCTCTCACTGTACACAGTGCACTCACAGGATGCCAGAAACTTCTCGCCGTAGGTCTCCTTGATCTCGGGTTGGGCCCGGTCCCACACCTCCTGGACATTCAGCAAAACCCTGTCAGTGTTGGTCTTGTTCGTCTTGAAGAAACCAGGTTCAATTACAGCCACTTTTACTCCAAAGGGGGCGAGCTCCCTCCTGGGAGACAGACAGGCGGAAGGCAAGGAATTCAGAGGTCTTGCAGGCGAACACGAACACATATAAACCCAATGAAAATCCAACACAGGGTGGTAGTAGATAAGCCTGAAAGCATGGCATGTTGGGAAGTGTAGCAGAAGGCCAACAAAAATTGTGACCATGGCATTGCCTGTGTATAGGGTTGACATACTTTACACACCGAGTTCACTAGCTCCGAATCCCCTGGAATCAGCTGCAAGGCACCACTGCTGGGCTATCTCCCCCATTCCCCTCACAATCCAGGGCATCATCAGGATTTGCCCATTTCACCCTCTATGCTCCTCAGTCCCCTTCCTCCCTCTGCTGCCCTGGTAACTCTCTGGCCATCTCTCAGCAGACTGCTGCGGCTGTCTTCTGGGGAGCATCCCTCTGTCTTCATTCTAGGCTCCCCACACGCACAACCCTTCTGTTCCCTGCACCCGTGGGCATCTAGATGCCTGTTACACCAATTACCACCCTGAGTCCACCCGAGCCATCGATTCCACTGCCAACAGCATGAAGTACAGCAGGTGTCCAGAATCCACAGGACTCCATAGCCCAATGGTGGCCACCTGTCCAGCCCCACACACCTGTCCTGGCCTTTTCCTTTGGCCCAGGAAGACCCCACAGAATAGGCAGTCAGCTGATGCTCATCCTTAGCCGGGACTGATGCCGTCCTCTCATCAGGAGCCCTGCCCACCCCTCCTTAGCAGGCTGCCAGGTCTTCTCAGCTCAGACCTCACAGCCAGGACCCTCCCCACATCTGGGGGCTGCCACGGCCACTATGGCTGACTTGGTGACAACACCTATAAGGGTTGGCACCAATGGTTGTCTGTCTCCTGTCCCTCCCCCTGTCAGCTATCAGGGTTTTTAGGTCAAGGAGCAAACCTTGCCATCCTAGGGTGCACTGATGCTGCACTCACACTAGTGCCCGCTGCTGTGTGTTGTGCTGAGTCAGAGGCCGCACCCACCCTCAAGGGCTCCCTGCACCCGAGTATCTCAGTGGCTGCGGACACGGCCCTGCAGCAAATTCTCCCACTTCCACTCTGCTTCAGACATGTCCTGTCTGTGGGCCCTCCTGAGAAGGCTCAGAAGGGGCTGGATGTGGTGCCACACGCCTGTAATCCTAGCACTGTGGGAGGCTGAGGCAGGAGGATGGCTTGAGGTTAGGAGTTTGAGACCAGCCTGATCAAGAGTGAGACTCCATCTCCACTAACAACAGAAAAATTGGCCGGGCCTAGGGGCGCACGCCTCTACTTCCAGCTACTTGGTTGACTGAGCCTGGAGGATCACTTGAGCCCAAGAGTTTGAGGTTGCTATGAGCTAGGTTGACACTATGGCACTCTAGGCTAGGTGACACAACAAGACTCCGTTTCAAAAAAAAAAAATTAGAAGGCTCAATAGGATGTTACATAATTTCTTAGGTCTGGGGCCCCTCCCCCTACAAGAATAGGGACAGGAGGTCCCACCGAATGGCTGGCTAAATCCAGGAAGGGGTAAGGCCAAAAAGCCAGAGGGAGAGATCTTGAACAAAGGGCCTCTAAAGCTGTGATGAAATCAAACTCTGACGAAAAGCTCCCACAGAAGACCAGGAACAGGAGGACTCAGGCAGGGCCCGATCCCTCCCCAATACCTGAGGGAGTCCGAGAAGGCCTCCACGCCGTACTTGGAGATGCAGTAGCCCCCAGGTGTTAGAGACAATCTACCCGCGATGCTGGAGACGTTGACCACGCGGCCTCTCGCCTTCCTCACTAAGGGCAGCAGGCTCAGAGTCACCTCGATCATCCCCAGCAGGTTCACGTCCAGTATGGTCACAAAGTCTTGTTTGGTCAGCCACTCATTGCGGCCCGAGCCTCTGGACATGCCAGCATTATTCACCAGGCCCCAGAGTCCTGGGGACAGTGGGAAATTGAGAGAGTAACACTGTATTGTGTGTGTGTGGTGTGGAGACAAGTAGGGTTAAAGTTAACATTCCAGTTGAGTTTATTTATGGAACCAAGAAGAATGTGCTACCTGGTATGGGAAAAAGAGTGGGGGGAAGAAATGAGGATATGGTGACTTAAAGGTGTCAGGGTTTGCATATTCTTCAAGCTATTAGAGGTTGGGAATGGTCCTTGTCATCTCTGCTCACAGGGCCTGGAAACCAGCGTACAATGAACCCAACTTTCTTAAGTGCATGGACAGAGTCTGAGAAAATAGAGTGAGTGCTCATCAAATATCTCATCAGGGGAGATACAGACAGTAAAAGAGGAATGGGGTAAAAGAAAAAAAAAGAACAAGGGAAAACCAGAGAAGAGAAAGAATAAAGGGAAAGGCAAAAAGACCCATGAATCATTGTTTTCTCTACCCTGGTTGGGAGAGACACACTTAAAATCCTAACTGGGGAGTGTAGAGATCAGGCCTGCTTTGGACATCAGGGGACAGGCTGTGATGCAATGTGCATCAATTTTGAGACCTTTTTTCTCAGGAATCAAAGTTCACCCTCTGTACCTGGGAATTCAGAGCTCACCATGGAGTCGATACATTGGACAGATCGGAGAGGAGGCCTCAGGCCACACCAGAGTCCAGATGGCACCCTTGGCCCCAGGCAGGGTCGATCTCTGCTTCCACCCTCCCCTAAGTCCACCCTTGACATAACCTCATGGCTCTCCAGCCCTCTTAGCTCTCGTGAAGATGATTTGCGAGATATCCAGGACCAAAAACACAACATCCAGGATTTGAAATAGTCTGACTTCCCCACCTACAGACCCAAGGTCAGCAGGCGCAGGCTTTTCAGTGGGCCAGGGCCGGGGTGCAGTTAGACAGAGTTTAATGTAGGAATAGAGGAAAGAGAATAAGGCCTCGCAATATTAGTGCTTCCCCCACACAACTTTCATGGCCTTCAAGAAATGAGTATTCTATGATCCCAATTTTTTACTTACCTTGATTAACATTGCCAAGCATGTGAACAAACCTCATTACAGAATCTTTGCTGAGATGTTATTTATGCCAGGAAAGGTGGGAAACTAAGTTCAGCATCTAACAATATAGGACTGCTTAAATAAATTATATTCTCTCAGCATGAATACACAGACATGCAATGTTACGTTTCAGGAGAGATTTGATGGTATAAAGCGCATTCCCAGAACACGCGAGGCAGACAGCAGTTAACTCTGGAGGGTGCGATTACGGTGAATGTTGTTTTACCTTTATCCTCTTCTATGTTTTCCTCAATAAGCATGGTTTACATTTCTAATCAGGACAAAGAAATCCATGATCTCCCTTTTCACAGAAAGAACAGGCAGCGTAATGTAGCAGGACAGGAATTATCACTGAATATTTGATACGAGGTCCCTTCAGCGCTCTAAGCCTCCATCCTCATGAGT